GACCTTTAGTAAACCAGAGAGACAACTTCCACTGTTCTTCCCAAAGTGACTTTGACCAAATTCTCTTTGCTCCATCCACACTGTGGCTGTATCTTTAGAATTCTGTCATGTCCCTAGTCCATCACCATCACTGTCTTTCTTTAATGCTCTACACTCAGTTCCTGCTTTCTAGTCATGATTGTTTTACCCATATGTGTTTTGTTTCCTAAAATGTCTGGGTTTGTGTTACGCGCAACTATTAGGTCTAATTTCTCCCAGTTTGTTGAGCAGGATATGAAGATTACTTCATATCCAAACTCTGATGGGCTTAGCATGACACACTCTCTCATTTCTCATTTCACTTTCCTTAAGTTTCTTAGTCTGATTTGCTGCATTTGTCTCATTAGTTGTATCACTTAACCTATTATAGTTCTCATGAGTATGGTAGGTAGATGTTTCTGTTATTATCTATTATCCTGCTGCTAAATGTTCTTTATTCATTGCTGTGTCCTCATAGGCCTAGTTCTGCTCTCTTGCTGCATTAAATAAAGACTAAAGACTACCTGAATTTCTATTGCTCTTTTCTCCTATTTTAGTTACAAGCACATTTTAGCAGCCATACGAATCTTGATCCCAAAAAGTGGTATCAAGTGCAACAGGTATCAACTGAAGTCTCTCTATGCAGAAGGGAATGTCAATCTTAATAAATCAAGCTGAGAGTGAAAGGACAACTCTGAAAACGTTTTCAGTCAGGAAGTTTGTGCTATCGGGGCAGCAGAATTCCTTACCAGTGGGAGAACTGGAAGACATCTATGAGGCAGACTAATTAGTGTGAATGATAGAAACTGGCACAAGAAGTTTGTCTAGCTCTGATGATAGCCAGAACTAATTTCCTCAGAGTAAGGTAAAGGTTGAATAGTTCCTTGCTCCCAGGAAGACCTTTTTTTGCCTTGTTTGTTTGTTTGTTCTTTTTTTTTTTTTTTTTTTAATCACAAGGATGTCCAGTTTTCTCCTGAGTAGGTATATGATCCAGATTATCACCATAAGTGATCCATTAAGAAGAGTTACCTGTAATTATTTTAAAATTTCTTGCTTTTTAGTTATATTCAATTCATCCCTATTCTTCTATTGTAGGTGGTAGCAATTTTCAGTCTGTTCCTGGTTTATATTTGCTGTTTGGCATATATTTACTTTGTGCAGTTTTATTACTATACTGTTTATTTGCATAGATTGTATCTACTGTAGCTTTCTCCACTGCAATCTTGATTCATCCTAATATTTTGTTTGACTTCTCTAGGTATTAGAGCTGTTTGCATTTAGGAGAAGCCACTGCAGAGCTGCCCATGTTATTTCAAGGCCACCTTCCTGAGCCTGACTTAATTAGAACCCACTAAAAGTTACAAATAGTTTAGGCTGTATGAGTTACCTCTCATTTTCTAAAGAATCAGTTTCATTTGTTATGACATAACCAGGTAGTATTATTAGATATTAGACAGCACTGATGCTAGCATAAACTTATTGCACACATATAATGCCAACACAAAAAAACCTTTCAAGCCTGGATTATGCTACCTAGTTTTAATGAGAGGTGGAATTTATTTTCCAGCAATTCAATCTCTTTCTCTTTGGATTTCTCAAAAAAAAAAAGTTTATGCTCTGTTTAGGTCTACTGGAATGCTACTTTTTAAGTTGGAAGCTTGCTCCTGCAACTCTCTTTTGACTCCATTTCTGATGACAACTCAAAGTAGCTCTGTGGCAAAGAAGTTGAGGACTTTTCTTTATGGATCTCACATAAAAATTAGTTTCTGTTATACTTTTTTAAATTCCTCTTACTGTATTACCTGCTATAGTTTATACTCCTTTTTACCGGATTCATGACTGTTGGATTTCTGTATTCTGCAGGATGAAGAGATAAATTATTTGGGTTTTCTATTTGGCAACAGTTGTTTTATATTTCTCCTACTGTTTCTCTTTTTGTGATATCCCTGGCTTTTAATATGCCCCTCTTCTCCCATAAATCTGTAAGTTTTAATTTCTGTTCTTTTCTGTGCTTTAGGTCCATTGTCTCATTATCCTTTTTTTTTTCCATTTTTGATTTCTGTTCTCAAATTGAGTATCACAATAGTATACCCCTCTTCCCCCATAAATCTGTAGGTTTTAATTTCTATTCTTTTCTGTGCTTTAGGTCCATTGTCTCATGATCCTTTTTTTTCCGTTTTTAAGATTTCTGTTCTCAAATTGAGTATCACAATAGTAAATTGGAACCTTTCCTCCCACAGATGTGTTAAACTAAATGAAACAATAGTGATAATTTCTAAATGGCCTGGCCAGAATCAGTATTAATACTTAGCATTGGTATATTTAGATTCCTGTGTTCAAAATACTACACAGACAACCTAAAAACGATTTAGTTCCTGAGAAAGGTATGAGCAGTGTTATCTGGATTTTAGAGTTTGGGAAACAGCAAGGGAGGGTGATTTGCTTAATAGCACACCATGAGTCATTCTGCGGGCTGGCCTCTCAGGTGCAGCATCTCTGAGGTGCCAGAGGAGCAGGCTCTAATGTCAAGGTAAAATACAAGTGACTACAAGTAGTTTTTACAATTCTTTTCTTTTTTTTTGTTTTCTTTACAAGGGAAAGTATAATGAAGCATTTGAATATTTCAGTCGGGCTTCTGAGGCTGCAAAAACTTTAAATAATTTGCCCTTAGTGGAAGAAACAAAGACTTATTATGGCATTGCAAAGGCTCATAAACTGATGGTGGCATTTAACAGCCAGATAGAAGCAGAAGATCCCGTCAGCCTCCAGTACCTGCTGGCATGGAAGGAGAACAGAAGTGACATGTGCACTGACCCTCTTACAGTCGGTAAGACATTGGTTATGAAACACATTAGTGCTGTATTGTCCTCAACGGTTAAGTCGTTTTCCTTGTAGAGTTTTATTAAATTATTTCCTGGGTTTAATTCTCCTACTTGAATGGAGGTTAGATTTACCCTTTTGTGTGCTTATTTTGAAGGCTGAATTAAATAGGTTTAAATACAATATAGCGGGGAGAAACAGATAATAGTAGTTGCAATGAATAGTCACTTACTTTTTGCAGTGCTATTTTCCACAACATAATAGTTGCAAGCAAAGAGTGATGTATTAGTCTAGTTAAATATCATTATTTTAATCTTTAAAGAAAAAAATAATAATTTTCATTTGCAGACAGTTTTTCAAGTGCATCCAAAAATAAGTTCCCTGTTACTAACAGCAAGAAGTGATTTCTGCTTGACATAGTGGACATAGCTCTGAATTCAGAAGAACATGCTGGTTTATTTTTGGCATCCTTATACTTGTCGTTGAAGGGGAAGAAAAAAAAAAAAGCAACTCTGTGATTTCTTCTTTGTGTTTCCATGTCTCAGATAAAAGAGTAGAGGAGGACTTTATGTGGAGTAGACCTCTTTCTTCATGGGTAAAATTTTCTTGAGTTTTTTTCCCCGTCAAGACGAGACAAACTGAATTATGCATTCTCCCCGAGTATTGATAGTATTAAATTGTATTGTACTGGGGAATGAAGAGGAGTAACCCTACTCCACCTTAAAACTTCCCTCTCTGTGTTCCTGTGGAGAGTGTGAGTCTGGAGTACAGTGGAAATAAATGACAGCTGGGGCAAAGTCATAATATGGGACTTCGGAGTTACTGTGTCCAAATTCCCTTGGTTACTCTCAAAGACAAAAAACCTGCTTCTTTGCTGTTTTCTTGTGTATCTTTTCCTTTCATAGAATTGGAACAATTAAGTACAACTTCAGTTGTGAATTTTATATATAAAAGAAGTGGTTAATAGCCTGGTAATTGAAGATGTTAGCGGTTTAACAGAAGCCAGGGTACCAGAGGCAACACTGGAAGCAACTGAGAATCGTGGAACGAGAACATTCATTGGCATGCTGAAGAGATAACAAATCAGCACTAATTTGTTTAGAGTTCCAGTGATGGTAACAGGGCAGTTCTTTCTCAACGATAATGCATTTCTTTTTCAATGACTGTATATATTTTTATGATATTTTGCCTCAGTAAGGGAACACCCAGCAGACTCCCAAACAGATTTGTTAGGCTGGCAGATTTAATTGGGTGCACATCTCCTGCAAGGGATAGTAAGTTTCTAGACCTGTAGTGCAGATGCAACAGTCAAAGAATCCAGTGTCAAGCAGTTCTATATGCATTTAATGTGAGGATCATTAGCTGTAGCTAATGAGAAGCCAACAAAAATTGACAATGGTAACGGCAAAAAAGCAGGAGCCCCAAAGAGATAGGATGACTGTTGTATGTTCAACATGTATTTTGCTTCTTGTACCTAAAGAGGTTTTCTGTTCAGCTTTTACACATTGCTTTCTCCAGCCAGTTGTGAAACCCACATATATCCTGAAATGATACGTGCCCCTTTAAGCTCAGGCTTCGTGCTCCTCTTTAACAGCACTTCAGGGATAAAAAGAGTATGATTAGAGAAGCCCTTTATGTCCTGGCAAGCGTGGTACCAGAAACAAGTTTTGCCTGCTGAGATTCTCTTCCTTCAGTATTTCTGCCTAGTTTACCCTCTGTTACTTTCAGTATTACAGTTTTCATTTTAGTTGCAGTTAACTCCAGGAACCCTGTGGCTACTGCATATTTAGCAGCTCTTCCAGTTCAATATCGTTCTTCTCATTAGTGCTCCAAGCTTACTCTCATGATACCCAGATTACATCCAGGAAAACATAGTGTCACACTGTCAGCACAATCTGTAACATTCTTCATGTTTTGCGTGCCAAATCGCTCGTTAGTGCTTGGCATTACATTTTTAATATCTTTGTCTGGCAAAACATGACCTGGCACCAATTCAGTATTAGGATTCACTGGCTTGGAGTTGCAGGTACAGCTTTTATCCTACCTTCCAGCAGAATTTCTGTGCGTCCTATGATGGACTCATCACTTTGGAAATTCCTGCTGTGATAATAGAACACTATTTCTAGCTCTTTCAAACAGCTCAACATTGATAATCTACTAGATTTTTCTTAGCCTTTTTGAGGATAAAACAGCTAAAGACAAGATAAAATGGTAGTTCTTAATCCGCAGGGGACTTTAATGAAAGGAAAAAGGAAGGTAATAAGTTTTTATTTCTAACTGTTCTGACTGAATAATTTTTCTGTGACAAAAAAAAAAAAGAGTAGTTTCTATATTCTTAGGCAAAAGAAATACTTAGGCTAGTAGAGGAACAATGACATTTAAATTCAAGTACTGCCACACACCTTATGTCTTTCAAGCAAGGCTTATTTTCTAAATCAATCATTTCAATAACCTGACGGGAAGAACCATTAATTACTCAATTTACCTCAACATTTATTAATAAAATGGATGTTTTGACCAAAGTTGTCATGGACAAAAGGGACAGGATTGTCAGAAAACAGTGTTTATAAATGCAAAGGAGAATGTGTTTCTATCTGCTCCATTTGACTCAGTCACCTGACTTCACTTACAAGAGAGTTATTTATGCCAATGTGAGATGCCACTGCAAGAACAACTATGTTTTTACTGATCTTTTTGTGTTTAGTTAAACATATAGACAATATTTATCAGTAGAATCAGAAGACAAAAAGGCTTATGACTCTACATTCAAGCCTAAAATGGAACCCACAGCTTGACTAACATTGATGAGACTATGTTTTTACTGATCTTTTTATGTTTAGTTAAACATATAAAAAATATTTATCAGTAGAATCAGAAGACAAAAAGGTTGTGACTCTTCATTCAAGCCTAAAAAGGAACCCACAGCTTGACTAACATTGATGAGAAAATATTTCACAGTTCTTTCAATAAATAAACTGACGTGCTGCCTTCTAGAAGGGAGAATACTAATTAAAGGTGCTGAAGGAAGGGAAATTTTTGAGCAGATTTTGGATATTGATTATACGAAATGCTGACCAGGAATTGTGTTTTTTGTGAGCCTGGCAGCTTTCAGTCCAGGTCATTGCAGCTGGCAAAACTGTGCCCCAGCAAGACACCTTGGATGCTTGAAGTCTAAGCTTTTGACCACATTTTACATTTGTATTTCTTGACTTTGGAAGATTTCGCAAAAATGACACATTTTACTTAGGTTTTCTGTGGTTGTTTTGTTGTGTTTTTTATAATAGTTACAAATGCACCATAAATGATTGTCTTACTCAGATCATCAATTGTGAAGATTTTATGATCAATGGAATGATCTTGTACCATCTACTTCAGCATGGTCAGGACTATTTCTAGAATTCCACACATAAGCAGTCTTCAATGTGATTTCAAATGCATGCACCAGCTAAAACTATATCTTGGAAAATACAATCCAATTAGCTTTTTTTCTTACTCCCAAATATGTAGTCCCTCAGCAATCTTTCTCCAGCTCCCTTACATAGATGTAGGGAAGGGTACATTCCATACAATGTGTCCTTTTTGGTTGTGTAAAAAGCTAAATTGTCAACCTACCAATTCCCATTTTTAAAAGCTCCTGAAGGTGTTTTATAATTATTTTTCTGTAAAAGGTGTGGCTAGCACAGAATTGAGTTTGTGTGTGACTGTCATTCACTAATAAAAGGATTATCCCTAAAGAATTGTGAAGTCAGAAGTGAGATACGAGATCAAAGATTACACTAACCAAATTCTGTTAACATTTCTCTACTGTAACTTACCACAGCCATGTAATTTATGGGCCATTTTGGTAATAGTGTCCAACAGTAGAACAGTCTCCTTCACAATGTGATAAACTGCTTTTTTACTGACTCCTCTTTCTGAAGTACACTAATTCCAGGAAAAATTCTAACATTACAAATCCTGTCTTTCCTCCATTAATAAATCACATTAGTTACCTCAAATGCATGCTAATAAAACTGTTATGTCATGGGACTGTAGCCAAAATGCTTGACTGTGCTTTAGCAAATCAAAACCAATCTTCATCAGGAACGTGCATTATAAATTATACTTTGTATTTGCCCAGTAAGTCTTCATCAGTGGTTGCACATTTTTTCATCTGAGAACGTTTAAGAGAAAGAAAGGGTATGGTGCAGTGATCAGAACTACAAAAATAGGAAGTCTTTGTACCTTACACAGCTGTATATCCTTAACATAGTTCCTGCATGATGCCAGTGGAAAGGTAAAGTTGTGTCAGCAGGTTCTTTTCACTGCATATTTTGTATTTAAGACTGTCATAGATTTTGCCCTATCGTGATACCAATGTGGGACTGCTGGAGTTGTGCACGTTTGTGTGTTTGTTAAATTGTTTGGTTCATTTACTATTTAATAAGTTCTATTGCAGTTAGCATGTACAGAAGGCAAATATATAGGCTTGTGTGACGACTGAAATTAGTATGCAGTCTTAATATTTTCTTCTAACATGTTTCTTCTTGATAGTATATTAGTGGGTTTTGTAACTAACTTACTGAGTAATGATCATTAAATGTAAATGCAGTCACTCACAAAGTAGCTAGAATGAATTTGAACAGGCGAAACTGATTTTCTTCTCAATCACTGCTGTGAAAAAGATGGGAATGATTCAAACCTTCTTTTTGGGAGGCAGAGAGGATATGTTCTGGGCTCAGCACTCTCAGCAGTGTGTTCACTGTGCCAGTCTGGAGGTAGGATCTGTAACAGACTCTGCTTCAAGCTCTATATCCTTATGATTTATATCAATAGTGACTTATTTAATTTCAGAATACATTGTTAATATGACCGAAAAATAATGAGAAATAGAAAGGATTTTAGAGACAGGTGTTAGGTGTTTTCTTAGAAAATATAATTGAATATGAAGTAAGGGAATTATACACTGGTTCACACTTGTTATTCTTGTTAAATAAAAACTATGATTTTAATATTTTTAGATTAGAA